ATATAGACACCCCATAGAGACCCATAGGGACCCATAGAGACCCATAGAGACCCACAGAGACCCATAGGGACCCATAGGGACCCATAGAGAGACCCATAGGGACCCACAGAGACCCATAGGGACCCATAGAGACCCATAAAGACCCCATAGAGAGACACATAGGGACACATAGAGACCCATAGAGTCCCACAGAGTGCCCACAAAGACCCATAGAGACCCCATAGGGACAGTAAGGACCCATAGAGACCCATAGACACCCCATAGAGACCCATAGAGACCCATAGGGACCCATAGACACCCCATAGAGACCCATAGGGACCCATAGACACCCCATAGAGACCCATAGGGACCCATAGGGACCCATAGACACCCCATAGAGACCCACAGAGACCCATAGGGACCCATAGAGACCCCATAGAGACCCATAGAGACCCATTGAGACCCCGGATATAGTGACCCCTGGGTCAGACACGCCGCCTGCACCTGTAGACCGCCATAGGGACCCCAGAGACCCCATGAGACCCCTTAGGACCCATAGAGACCCCACAGAGACCCCATAGAAACCCATAGAGAACCATAGAGACCCCATAGAGACCCCATAGAGACCCATAGAGACCCATAGAGCCCCCACAGACACCCACAGAGCCCCATAGACACCCCATAGACACCCCATAGAGCCCCATAGACACCCCATAGAGCCCCATAGAGCCCCATAGACACCCCATAGAGCCCCATAGACACCCCATAGACGCCCCATAGAGGCCCCATAGACACCCCATAGACCCCCATAGACCCCCCATAGAGCCCCATAGAGCCCCATAGACCCCCATAGAGCCCCACAGACACCCCCTAGAGCCCCACAGAGCCCCATAGCCCCCCATAGAGCCCCACAGTACCTGGCAGTGGCCGGGCGGTGCCCACCATAGAGGATGAGGGCACGGGAGGGGGGGTGGAAGAGCAGGGAATGGCCGGCGGCCGCCGGGGCCTTCCCCCCCCAGGGCTCCACCCGCTCCCAGCGGCCCCCGCGCAGGGGGAAGCGGAAGAGGAGGGAGGAGAAGAGGTCGTGGGGGGTGCGGCCTGCGGGGGGCACGAGGGGTCAGAGAGGGGTCAGAGAGGGGTCAGAGAGGGGTCATAGGGGGGTCAGAGAGGGGTCAGAGAGGGGTCAGAGAGAGGTCAGAGAGGGGTCAGAGAGGGGTCAGAGAGGTGATGGGGGAGTCAGAGAGGCGTCATAGGGGTAGAGAGGGGTCATAGGGGGGGGGAGGGGGGTAGTGGGGGTCATGGGGGGGTCATGGGGGGGTCATGGGGGGGTCATAGGGGGGTCATGGGGGGGTCATAGGGGGGTCAGAGGGGGGTCATAGGGGGGTCAGAGAGGGGTCATAGGGGGGTCAGAGAGGAAGAACAATGGGGTAATGATGGGTAATAAAGAGGATAATATAGGAACAATATAAGGATAATGAAAGGATAATACACGGATAATAACGGGATAACATAATAACAGGATAATGAGAGGATAATGATAGGATAATGAGAGGATAGTGATGGGATAATGATGGAATAACCACGGGATAACAATGGGATAACGATGGGGTAACAATGGGGTAGCAATGGGGTAACAATGGGGTAACAATGGGGTAACAATGGGGTAACAATGGGATACCAGAGGGATAGAGATGGAAAAATGACGGGATAACAATGGGGTACAATGGGATAACAATGGGGTACAATGGGATAACAATGGGGTACCATAGGGCACCATTGAGACCCATGCAATCCCCCGCCCCAACAAGCCCAGCCCACCTCCGAACACGTAGAGCCAATCATCGACAACGGCCACGGCGTGAGCAGCCAATCCCGGCGGGGTGTGGGCGGGGTCTCCACCGGGCAGGGGGCGGAGCTCCCGCCAGCCCCGCCCCTCGGGCTCCAGGCTCCACACGTCATTGGCCAGCGCGCCCCCCGCCAGCTCCCCCCCCATCAGCACCAGGCTTTGGCGCCACCTAGCGGCCGCGTGCGAGTGCCTGGGGGGCTGCGGGGGGGGAGGAGGGAACAGCCGGGTGAGGGGGGCTATGGGGCAGGCAATGGGGTCTATGGGGCAGGCACTGGGGGCTATGGGGGGTATAGGGGGCATTGGGGCTATGGGGCAGGCAATGGGGGCTATGGGGCAGGCAATGGGGGCTATGGGGCAGGCAATGGGGGCTATGGGGGGTATAGGGGGCATTGGGGCTATGGGGCAGGCAATGGGGGCTATGGGGCAGGCAATGGGGGCTATGGGGGGTATAGGGGGCATTGGGGGTATGGGGCTGCCCATAGGGGTATGGGGCAGGCAATGGGGGCTACGGGGCAGGCTATGGGGGCTATGGGGGCTATGGGGCTGCCTATGGGGGGTGTGGGGCAGGCAATGGGGGGTGTGGGGCAGGCAATGGGGGGTATGGGGCGCTCACCGGCTGGAGGCTGAGGTTCAGTTGCTGCCATTGGTTGGTGCTGAGGTTGTAGACGACGAGGTCACCGAGCACCGAGTTCAGGTCCAGGCCTGGGGGGGAACAGAGACCCCATAGAGACCCCATAGAGACCCCATTGAGACCCCATGGAGACCCCATGGAGACCCCATGGAGACCCCATAGAGACTCCATAGAGAGCCCATAGAGACCCCATTGAGACTCCATACGGACCCATAGAGCCCCCATAGAGCCCCATAGAGACCCACAGAGCCCCACAAAGACCGTATCCATCCCCATTTCACCCCCCCCATCCAGCAGGGGGCGCCGCTGACCTCCGAAGACGTAGAGGGCACCGGTGTGGGGCAGGAAGGCGCCGGCGGCAGCGGTGCGGGGCCGGAAGCTGGGGTGGGCTGGGCTCACCGGGTACCAGCGCCCCCCTCTGGACGGGAGGCCCAGCTCCAGCTCGCAGCTCAGCCCCACATAGCCCGGGCGGCACTCGCAGAGCCCTGAGACCTGGGACCCACAGGGACCCATAGGGACCCACAGGGACCCATAGGGACCCATTGGGACCCATTGACCCCCATTGCCCCCCATTGATGCCCATTGACTCCCATTGCTCCCCCATCGTCCTCCACTGACTCCCATTGCCCCCTATTGACTCCAATTGACTCCCATTGCTGCCCATTGCCCCTCATTGACTCCCACTGCTCCCGCACTGATGCCCATTGACCCCCACTGCCCCCCCATTAATACCCATTGACCCTCATTGCCCCCATTGATTCCCATTGCCCCCCATTGACGCCCATTGACCCCCATTGACTCCCATTGACGCCCATTGACGCCCATTGACTCCCATTGACCCCCATTGCGTCCATTGACTCCCATTGACCCCCATTGACTCCAATTGACTCCCATTGACGCCCATTGACGCCCATTGACGCCCACTGATGCCTATTGATGCCCATTGACACCCACTGACCCCCATTGATCCCCATTGATCCCCATTGATCCCCATTGATCCCCATTGACCCCCATTGACGCCCATTGACCCCCATTGACTCCCATTGGTCCCCATTGATGCCCATTGCCCCCCGTTGATCCCCATTGATTTCCATTGCCACCAATTGCCCCACATTGACTCCCATTGACTCCCATTGATCCCTATTGGCTCCCATTGCCCCTCATTGACTTCCATTGATCCCATTTGCCCCCATTGATTCCCATTGATCCCCATTGATCCCCGTTGATCCCCATTGCCCCCATTGACTCCCATTGATCCCCCATTGATGCCCATTGACTCCCATTGACCCCCATTGACCCCCATTGACTCCCATGCTCCCCCATTGATGCCCATTGACTCCCATTGACCCCCATTGCTCCCCCATTGATGCCCATTGACCCCCATTGCCCCCCACCTCATTGCAGGTCCCCCCGGGGGCCTTGCAGGAGGCGGAGCAGCGAGGTTGGGAGCAGTCGGCCCCCCCCCAGTGGGGCCCGCAGTGACAGCGCCCCCTGGCGTCGCAGCGGCCCCGGCCCCAGCACCCCCCGGGGCAGGGCCAGGCCCGGAAGGAGGCGGCGAAACCCCCCCGGTTGTAATTGGGGTCACTGAAGAGCTGCACCAGGAGCTGGGGGGAGAGACCCAGAGAGACCCATAGGGACCCCATAGAGACCCATAGGGACCCATAGGGACCCATAGGGACCCATAGAGACCCATAGGGACCCCATAGAGACCCATAGAGACCCATAGGGACCCCATAGACACCCATAGGGACCATAGAGACCCACAGAGACCTCATGAAGACCCATAGGGACCTCATAGAGACCCAGAGAGACCCCATAGAGACTCATAGGAACCACACAAAGACCTAGAGTGACACATAGCGACTCCATAGAGACCCCACAGCGACCCATAGACCTCCATAGAAACGCGTAGAGCCGCCATAGAGACCTTAAGAGACCCCATCGACACTACAGATACTCCATAAGAGACCATAGAGCCCCGTAGAACCCCAGAGAGCCCACAGAGACCCACAGAAACCCATAGATGCCCATAGACACGAACTGAAACCATAGAGACACCCTAGAGACACCACAGAGCCCCCGCAGGCGCCATGGCGGCCGCGCTGTAGCGCCCCCTACCTGTCCGGAGGTGGCGCGCAGGGGGGGTGGGGCGCGGCTGCCGCTGAGGCTGGCGAGGCGCGGGGAGCGGGGGGAGGGGCCGTCAAAGACCGAGACGAGGTCGAAGCCGCACTCGGTGTCCAGGGAGGAGAAAGCGAGAACGAGGCTGAGCCCCGGGGGGGCTGGGGGGAGGGGTTAATGGGGGGGTGGGGAGGGTTAATGGGGTGGGGGGAGGGGTTAATGGGGGAGGGCTTAATGGGGGGAGGGGGTGGAGTGGGAGAGGGTCAATGGGGGAGGGGTTAATGGGGGGGGAGTTAATGGGGGTTTGGGAGGAATGGGAGGGAGGGGTTAATGGGGGTTTGGGGGAAAGGGTAGAGGGGCTACAGGGGGAGGGAAGAATGGGGAGGAAAGGTTAATGGGGGAGGGGTTAATGGGGGGGAGGGGTTAATGGGGGGAGGGGTTAATGGGGGGGAGGGGTTAAGGGAGGTTTGGGGGGAATGGGGGGGAGAGGTTAATGGGGGAGGGATTAATGGGGGAGGGGCTAAAGAGGGGTATTGGGGAATGGGAGAGGGGTTAAGGGGGGGAGGATGGGGGCATAGGGGAGGATGGGGGCATGGGGGAATGGGGTCCCCCCACACACTCTATCATCCCCCGCATAGGTCTCTATAGGGCTCTATAGCCCCCCAGTAGGGCCCCCTAGGCTACCCCATAGGGCTCTATAGCCCACCCCATAGCCCCCCCCAGTCCCCCCCAAGCTCTCACCGCGCAGCAGCCATTGGCAGCTCCCACTCACGGAGTAGTTCCCGGGGCCGTCGGTGACGACCCCCGCCGGGCCCCACAGCTCCAGGCGCTGCCCCACACATGGGCCCCCTGCCACGGCCCGCACCCACAGGACCCACAGGGCCCATAGGGGCCAATGGGGCCATGGCACCCGCATCCTGTAGGAGGCAAGAGACAGGGGTCAGACCCACAGAGACCCATAGAGACCCATAAACACCCCATAGATCTGCATAGAAACCCCATGGATACCCCGCAGAAACCCAAAAACCCACAGAGACCCCATAGGGATCCCACAGAAACCCCACAGAAACCCCATTAAGGATCCCATAGAGACCCCATAGAGATCCCACAGAAACCCCATAGACACCCCATAAGGATCCCATAGAGATCCCATAGAAACCCCACAGAGATCCCACAGAAACCCCATAGAGACCCCATAGAAACCCCACAGAAAGCCCACAGAAACCCCATTAAGGATCCCATAGAGACCCCATAGAAACCCCACAGAAAGCCCACAGAAACCCCATTAAGGATCCCATAGAGACCCCATAGAAACCCCACAGAAAGCCCACAGAAACCCCATTAAGGATCCCATAGAGACCCCATAGAAACCCCACAGAAAGCCCACAGAAACCCCATTAAGGATCCCATAGAGACCCCATAGAAACCCCATGGAGATCCCACAGAAACCCCATAGACACCCCATAAGGATCCCATAGAGATCCCATAGAAACCCCACAGAGATCCCACAGAAACCCCATAAGGATCCCATAGAGACCCCATAGAAACCCCATGGAGTTCCCACAGAAACCCCATAGACACCCCATAAGGATCCCATAGAGATCCCATAGAAACCACACAGAGATCCCACAGAAACCCCATTAAGGATCCCATAGAGACCCCATAGAAACCCCATGGAGTTCCCACAGAAACCCCATAGACACCCCATAAGGATCCCATAGAGATCCCATAGAAACCCCACAGAGATCCCACAGAAACCCCATAGAGACCCCATAGAAACCCCATGGAGATCCCACAGAAACCCCATAGACACCCCATAAGGATCCCATAGAGACCCCATAGAAACCCCACAGAGATCCCACAGAAACCCCATTAAGGATCCCATAGAGACCCCATAGAAACCCCATGGAGATCCCACAGAAACCCCATAGATACCCCATAAGGATCCCATAGAGACCCCATAGAAACCCCACAGAGATCCCACAGAAACCCCATAGAGACCCCATAGAAACCCCATGGAGATCCCACAGAAACCCCATAGAGACCCCATAAGGATCCCATAGAGACCCCATAGAAACCCCACAGAGATCCCACAGAAACCCCATAGAGACCCCATAGAGACCCCATAGAAACCCCATGGAGATCCCACAGAAACCCCATAGAGACCCCATAGGGACCCCATAGAGATCCCATAGGGAACACCCCGAAAGGCCTTCCCCCCCCCCCCGATGCTGCATCCCTCGCCCCGCCCCACACGGGGGCCACCCCCGCCCCATTGCCCCTATGGGGGCGCTATGGGGCAGGCTCCCGGCCTTTACCCGCCGGCGCTGGCGGAGCCGCGGGTCCGGAGCAGCGAGACGCCGGCGCAGAGCGGCGCCGCGCAGCGGCGTGATGACGTCAGCGGCGCGATGACGTCAGCGGCGCGGCGCGGCGGGGCATAGAGAGGAAGGGGCAGAGCGGCGACACCGCCTCCCCCCCCCCCACCTCAGTCCTCCAAAGCCCCGGAACACCAAAAATCTCCTTTTTGGACCCAAAATCGCCGCTTGGGGGGGGCCGGAGAGGGGGTCTATAGGGTCTGGTTTGGGTTGTAAGGTATTATAGCCCCATTAAACCCCATTATAGCCCCATTAAACCCCATTATAGCCCCATTATAGCCCATTATAACCCCATTATACCCCAATATAAGCCAATATAAGCCCCAATATAGCCCCATTGTACACCATTGTAGCCCATTATACCTCATTATTCCCCATTATAGCCCATTATAACCACATTTACCCCATAATAGCCCCATTACACCACATTATAACCCATTATACCCCAATTATAATCCATTATAAGCCATTATAAACAATTATACACCATTATAACCAAATTATAACTCATTTAACCCCATTATAACCCATTATAACCCCATAATACCCCATTATAACCCCATTGTAACCCATTATAGCCCCATTATTCCCCATTATAACACCATTATACCCCATTATAACCCCATTTTAACCCATTATACCCCATTATACCCCATTATAACTCCATTATAACTCATTATACCCCAATATAAGCCAATATAGCCCCATTATAACCCCACTGTACCCCATTATAGCCCATTATAACCCATTATACCCATTGTAAACTCATTATACCCCATTATTCCCCATTATAGCCCATTATAACCACATTTACCCCATTATAACCCCATTACACCACATTATAACTCATTATACCCCAATTATAACCCATTATGCACCATTATAACCAAATTACAACCCATTTAACCCCATTATAACCCCATTATACCCCATTATAACCCCATTGTAACCCATTATAACCCCATTATTCCCCACTATAACGCCATTATACCCCATCATAACCCCATTATAACCCCATTTAACCCATTATACCCCATTATACCTCATTATAACCCTATTATACCCCATTATAACCCATTATACCCCCTTGTACCCGAATATAAGCCAATATAGCCCCAATATAACCCCACTGTACCCCATTATAGAACATTATACCCCCATTATAACTCATTATACCCCAATATAAGCCAATATAGCCCCATTATAACCCCACTGTACCGCATTATAGCCCATTATACCCCAGTATAACCCCATTGTAACCCATTATACCCCAGTATAATCCCATTGTAACCCATTATACCCCATTATTCTCCATTATAGCCCATTATAACCCCATTACACCACATTATAACCCATTATACCCCAATTATAACCCCATTGTAACCCATTATACACCATTATAACCAAATTATAACCCATTATAACCCCATAACCCCATTAAGCCCCATTATACACCATTATAACCCCATTATACCCCATTATAACCCCATTGTAAACCAATTGTAACACATTATAACCCCATTGTAACCCCATTGTAACCATATCGTAACACTAACCCCAACCTAAACCTAAATCCACCCTACTCTAACCCTTACCGTAACAGTAACCCTAACTCTTACTCTATTCTGTAGCTCTAAACCCTAACACTAACCCCAAACCCCCAACTCTATCCCCTAACACTAACCCTAACCCTAAACCTAACCCATCCTGACCCTAAACACTAATCCTAACTCAAACTCTAAACCTCACCCTAACCCGTACCCCCAAGCCATCCTAGTCCTGACCAATGTAGTCTAACCCACACAGACCTAGGTTAGGTTAGGCTAATCTAAACCAGGCAAAGCTAGGCACGGCTAGCTAATGAAATTTAACCCAGGCACAGCTAGGCTAGGCTAGGCTTGGCTTATCTATGCCAGGCTAGGCTAATCCAACCCATGCTAGGTTAATCTAACTCAAGTTAGGGCTCTGCTAGGCTACTCTAACCCAGGCTTGGTTATGCTAATTTAATCTAATCCACACAGAGCTAGGCTAAAATAGGCTAATCTATCCCAGGGTAAACTAATCTAATCCCAGGGTAAGCTAACCTAATCTAACCTAACACAGGTGGCACTAGGCATATCTAACACAGGCTAGGCTGTGCTGGGCTACTCTAATCTAACTCAGGCAGAGCTAGGCTAAACTAATCTAACCCAGGCAGAGATAGGCTAGGCTAAAGCAGTCTAGGCTGGAGTAATCTAAGGCAGGTTAGGCTAAAACAGATAAGGCTAGCCTAAACCTATCTCAGCCAGGCAGAGCTAGGCTAGGCTAATCTAACCCTGGGTAGGCTAACACAGTCTAGGATAGGCTAATGTAATCTAACCCAGGAAGAGCTAGGCTAGACTAATTTAACCCAGGTTAGGCTAACAGAGGATGGGCTAAAGTAATCTAATCTAACCCAAGCAAACCTACCCTAATCTAACCCAGGTTAGGTTAAAACAGGCTAGGCTAGGCTAATCTAATGTAAGCCTGGCAGAGCTAGGCTAGGCTAATTTAACCCAGGGTATGCTAACACAGGCTAGGATAGGCTAATCTAATCTAACGCTAGCAGAGCTAGTCAATCTAAGTTAGAGCTAAACTACGCTAATCGAAACAAGGCTAGGCTAACACAGGTTAGGCTAGGCTAATCTGACCGAGTCAGACTGAGGCGAATCTAACCCAGGGTAGTCTAACAGAGGCTAGGCTAGGTTTATGTAATCTAAGCTAGGCATAGCTAGGTTAATGTAACCCAGCTATGCTAGCCTAATCTAAACCTGGCTCGGCTAGGCTAATCTAATCTAACCCAAGCAAAACTAGGACATTCTAACCCAGGCATTGCTGGGCTAATCTAACGCAGGCTAGGCTAGGCTAGGCTAATCTAATCTAACCTAACCTAGGGAGCTGTAGCCTAGGCTAGGCTACCTGAGGCCGGATCTAACCCAGGCTAGGCTAATATAACCCATGAGAGGCTAAAGCAGTGTAGGCTTTCTAACACTAATAAATCGAACCCTAACCCCTAACCCTAAAAATAATCCTAACCCCTAACCCTAACTCTTAACCCTAACCCTAACCATAATCCCCAATGCTAACCCTAATCCCTAAACCCAACCCTAAACCTAACCCTAACACCTAACCCTAATCCTACCCCTAAAGATAACCCCTAATCATAACGCTTAACACTAAGGCTAACCCTAACCCTTAACCCTAACTCTAACCTTAACCTTAATCCCTAACCCTCACCCTACTCCTCCTGGCTCTTGGGCTCTGGGAGCAGGTGCCAGGCGTTCGTGCTCCACTCACTGTGCTGCTGGGCAGCCTGGAGCCACCACCAGAGATGTTCCATGGATATGGGGTACACCAGTACGGATATAGGGATATACCAGTATGGATATAGGGATACACCAGTACGGACATAGGGATACACCAGTATGGATATAGGGGTACACCAGTACGGATATAGGAGTACACCAGTACGGATATAGGGGTACAACAGTACGGATATAGGGGTACACCAGTACGGATATAGGGGTACACCAGTACGGATATAGGGGTACACCAGTATGGATATAGGGATACATCAGTACGGATATAGGGATATACCAGTACGGATATAGGGATACCAGTATGGGTATAGGATACACCAGTACGGACATAGGGGCACATCAGTACAGACATAGGGGTACATCGGTATGGATATAGGGCTACACCAGCATGGGTATAGGGTACACCAGTATGGGTATAGCGATGCACCAGTATGGATATAGGGTACACCAGTATGGGTATAGCAATGCACCAGTATGGGTATAGCAATGCACCAGTATGGATACAGGGATACATCAGTATTGATATAGGGATACCAGTATGGGTATAGGGATACACCAGTATGGGTATAGGTTTACACCAGTATGGATATAGGTTTACACCAGTATGGGTATAGAGATACGCCAGTACAGGTATAGGGTTACGCCAGTATGGATACAGGGATACATCAGTATGGATACAGAGATACCAGTATGGGTATAGGGATACACCAGTATGGGTATAGGTTTACGCCAGTATGGATATAGGTTTACGCCAGTACTGGTATAGGTTTACGCCAGTACGGGTATGGGATACATCAGTATGGATACAGGAATACCAGTATGGATATAGGGATACACCAGTATGGGTATAGCTACACCAGTATGGGTATAGGGTACACCAGTATGGGTATAGGTTTACGCCAGTATGGATATAGATTTACGCCAGTATGGGTATAGGGTACACCAGTATGGATACAGGGATACATCAGTATGGATACAGGGATACCAGTATGGGTATAGGGATACACCAGTATGGGTATAGGGTACACCAGTATGGGTATAGGTTTACGCCAGTATGGATATAGATTTACGCCAGTATGGGTATAGGGTACACCAGTATGGATACAGGGATACATCAGTATGGATACAGGGATACCAGTATGGGTATAGGGATACACCAGTATGGGTATAGGGTACACCAGTATGGGTATAGGTTTACGCCAGTATGGATATAGATTTACGCCAGTATGGGTATAGGGTACACCAGTATGGGTACAGGTTTACGCCAGTATGGATACAAATTTACGCCAGTATGGGTATAGGGTACGCCAGTATGGGTATAGGTTTACACCAGTATGGGTATAGCTACGCCAGTATGGGTATAGGTACGCCAGTATGGGTATAGGTACGCCAGTATGGGTATAGGTACGCCAGTATGGGTATAGGGTGCGCCAGTATGGGTATAGGGTGCGCCAGTATGGGTATAGGGTGCGCCAGTATGGGTATAGGTTTGCGCCAGTATGGGTATAGGTTTGCGCCAGTATGGGTATAGGTTTGCGCCAGTATGGGTATAGGGTGCGCCAGTATGGGTATAGGGTGCGCCAGTATGGGTATAGGGTGCGCCAGTATGGGTATAGGGTGCGCCAGTATGGGTATAGGGTGCGCCAGTATGGATACAGG